CGGGAGCGCGGTGCGGGGAGCTGCGGGGCGGAGCGGTGCGGTGCTGGGCAGGGCCGCGATGAGGGGAGGCGAGGCGGCCGCGCCCGGGCGGGGGGCGGCGGGAGCAGCCGCAGGCCTGTTGCGCAGCGCGGGGTAGGCCGGGGGCCTCTGTGGTGGCTTCCGGGAGCGGCTCTGCGGGCCGGGCCCCGCCGTCACTCGGTCCGCAGGGCCTGAGGCGCGGCCCCGGCCGGTACCGGAGCGCTCGGCTCCCGCTCGGGTGGGCGGGGCCGTCCCGTCCTGTCCCGGGGCTCTGTGGTGACTGGGTGGAGTCCGGCCAGCCCCAGGCGGCTCTGAGGGCGCTGCCCGCGCAGCCGGAGCGCTGGAAGCGCGTCCTGGTGCCGGGGTAGGGGCTGCGTTTGGAACCGCTGCGCTCAGGAAGAGGCTTCATTTCCGACGCTCCAGTCTGGGAGCAGCGGTGAAAGCGGCTTCAGTGCCAAAACAGAGGAGCGGTTGTATTGTGCTGTGCGCGCGCTGCGTCTGAGCCTTGTCACAGGCTTCCTGCTTCCCTTGTTGTGTGTGCGCGCTTATTCTTGCTAAATGTAAGCTAGAAGTCAGCCTGTAAACGTAGCCAGTGCTCAGATTCGGCCCTTTCGAGTGTGCACTCAGCAGTGCGTGCTTCTGATGCAGGCGAAATGAAAATGTGGGAAAGCAAATTGAGTACAACTGCATCTAGAGGGATGCAACAAGAGCACGGTGAAAGTGGTGTGAGGAGCACATGCAGAGGTTCGTGCACCTGTTACAGAGGTGCAGGGTGTTGTAGCTGGTAAAGACAAGTGGATGACCTGAGCTCAGAGCTGAGCGGAGATGAATTCTTGCCTACACCAAGTGCTTTTTCTTTCTTGTGCTTTCTCTTGCTCCGTGTTAACTGCTCAAAGGAGCAGACAGAGGCAAGCGCTGTTAAGTGTGTGTAGTCAGAATTATCGTTAAGCTGCTGTATTTAATACTTTGTAGATTTCTGTAGCTGAAAACTTGGGCCCTATGACCCATTGTAGGAGTTGTCACATGCATTACTGCAAACCATAGTATTAGCTATCCACGGCCGTTTTTAGCATGTTGAACAATTCAGTGGCAAGATGTCTGGCACACTGCATGACTTACACCTCTTCTCAGTTGTTAAAGCATCACTTCTCCAGCAGGAAACTGCCCCATATTTATTCCAAAGATGCAAGTTCCCAGTTGTCACGAATGTCAGATAACTTGTGTACAATAAGGGTATTGACTTGAAACCGAAACCGCAGCCTGTCCAAAGGTGAGCAGAATAATGGTGACTTTCTTTACTGCAGGTCAGCCAGTGTTCCTGGGAGCTCAAATGTGGCTGCTGGCAGTAACCGTCGTCTTCAGCAGACTCAACACCAAGTAGATGAGGTAAAAGTCTAGTCTGATATCAGCATAACTGTTTTACTTTCAGGAAACTGGTATGATTTATATTGGAAGGGATGTTTTGGGTGGTTTCCCCTTCATTATGTGAAGGGGAGGCCTGGCATCATTCAGCTTGCTTTGTTATACTTGTGTCATCTCAACTCTTGCAAAGGTTAAAAAGGAAAACCCATTCAGCTGGAGGAGGAAGTGGAGCAAAGTTGCTGCTGTCAAATGTAAGCTGCAAATCTAATACTTGAGGAATTGGCATAAGTAAAGATAAAAACCTTTGTCCTCACAGAGGACATGCTTGTCTCTCATCAGTAGCAATGGAGGCTGACTGTCAAATATGGCTGACACCTATGGATTTCTGCAGAGCCCAAAAGCCAGGCTGGCTACTGACAGTGGTGTTTGACGTGTGGTTGACTGTCATGTGTATATGCCTCACCTCCTTCTGAAGGGGATCAGGAATTCTGCCCCAGGTTCAAGGGCATGCCAGCACTCCTGGCATGTTAAAGTAGGCATTAGGGACTTCCAGCCACAGGCGGATTTCACAGTTTTGTGTAAGCTTATGGCTGGGTTTACTAAAGGCAATAGCTCCTACTTCTGAGAAAAGCACATTAAGAGTATTGTGTGTTGCTGCCTGTTGCCTGCAGTTGAGTTCCACACTGGTTGGTGCAACTGATAACTTTAAGCATTAACTGGTGCAGGTTGTTGACATCATGAGAGTGAACGTGGACAAGGTATTGGAGCGAGATCAGAAGCTGTCAGAGCTGGATGACCGTGCTGATGCGCTGCAGGCAGGAGCTTCCCAGTTTGAGACCAGTGCAGCCAAGCTGAAAAGAAAGTATTGGTGGAAGAACTGTAAGGTAACCATGGCTTGTCTACTATACAGTACTGCAGTGAAGGCTTTTACTATTACAGTCATCTCAAAAGGCAGAAGTGACTTTATCCAGTGTTACTTAAGTTACAGCATCTGTTTTTTACAATGTGGTGTAGTGGTTAGATAAAGTAACCAAAAGCTGGATTACCAGTGGTGCTGCTTGGTGCAAGACTGTGTCTGATGTGGTCATGGCGAGAGGGAAACACCTCAGTAATGTGAGGCTTTGGGGAACAGGAAGAAGGCAGCCAAAAATGCATGGGTTGAGTAAAAGTGCAGGAAGTATTAGAAAGCAGAAAGAGCTCACTCAGACTTTGGAGCTGTTGGCAAAGGTTGGAATCATCTTCAGTGAGCAGCAAAAGACAGTGAAAGACACGGTATAGGGTGAGAGTGGAAATGGTGTTTAATAGTTCTTGACTCCTGCTTGTATGGTCACCTGAGCCAGGCTTTGCATGGAGGCACAGTGGAAAAGGATTTAGTCTGCTTTGCCTGTGTGCACAGCCTGCTTTAGAGTGTGCCTTGAGCTTGCATATTGAAGAAGTGTTACTTGCTGTGTTGGATCTAGCACTTGGTGCAAAAGTACCTTGCAGTGGCTGTGTTTCTGTACCCTGAAGGCCAGTTAATGCTGCTGCCTGCTTTGTAGTAAGTGTGTATGGCTTTTTTCACAGATGTGGGTGATATTGATAGCTGTTGTTGTCATGATCATCATCATCATTGTTGGTAAGTTTCACCGAAATGGGGATTTCTCATAGAGCTGGAATAGGTGGTGTTAATTCACTGATGGGTACAGCTTAGATAAAGCCAGGATACTCAGCTGGAAGTATATAAACATGAGTTTGAAATAGCAGTGAGTGGTGAACTGTGACCCCTGTGGGAGCTCCAGTAGCTGAATCTCAACCACTTGTGCATTGAAAGGGGTGACAGTGAGAAGAGCAAGGACTTGGAAAGCAGGAACAGCCTTGGTTTTGTACAGCTGTGTGTTGCAGTAGTGTAAAGAGAAATACAATTTCCCTCCCTTGTCCAAGAACTGTTTCTTCATGTCCCCCAGCTTCTGGCTAGGTAAATCCAGGGTATCAGTTCCAAGGGTGCTGCTGTGCTAGTAGAGACTTTGCTGCTGAGTGCAGTGATACTAACGCTGGGTCATGATAGCAGACCAGGGAACGTACAGTCCAGTGTTTGATCTGAATTCTCCTCGATCCCCAAGCATTTCATGGGAGGACAAAGTTTGTTTGTGCTGTAATACAGTAAGAAACACTGCAGTAACCATTGCCAAGAGATGTGTAGTACTGGGTGAGAAATACTGGTGTGCAAGCAAAGGAAAACTAAAACTAGGAAAGCCACAGCGGAGCACTCTTAAATCTCTTTAGTTATCTCTAGTATGAATCGCTTCACCTGCAGCACTGTCAGGGCTGAAGGAGACTGTCCTCTGTCCAACCTCTTTCTTCTTTTGTAGTCTGGAGCATATATGCATGAGTTACAGGAAGAAACTCGGATCCCCTGGAGGTGCCTTATCTTCAGCCTCTCCACTTGAAACCCGCTGCATTTTTCAGCCCATTTACTGCTGTTTAAAGCCAAACTGTTTTGATTACCGAGATGTTATCACTAACTTCACCTTGTTGCCTTAAGACACTCCTGCCATTAATCACTAACAAGCAGGGCCCGGCTCACGAGGTGCCGTGCCTGGCGCTGGGCTGGCCCCGCTCCGTGCCGGGCTCCGTTGCTGCCGTTACCTGGGACCAAGCGGTGCGGGAGCGCGATGGGGGGGGGGGGGGGGGGGTGGCACCGCCTACCGGGGAGGGGCGACCGGCGCCGCACGTGGCGGCGGGGCAGGCGCGCGCACGGGGTCCGCGTGCGGCGGCGCGTGAGGGGCGGGGACGCGCGAGGGGCGGTGGGGGGCGGCTCCGCCCCGCCGGGCTCGCGCTATCCAATAAACGAGCGGCTCCCACCGTGGCTCCGCCTCCTCCTTCCCTCGGGGCACGCGGCCGCCGTGTGTGGGAGCGGGGCCGCCGCGTGCGGCCGCCGTTACGTAACCGGGGCGGGGGCGCGGCGCCTCCCCTCACGGCGTGGCGGGGCCCGGCGCAGGTAGGACCCCGCTGCCGGGCCGCGGGTGGAGGCAGCGCGGGAGGGCCGGGCCGTTCCCTCCCCTTCCCTCCGCGGCTGGGCAGGCCCGGCTCCGCTCCGAAGGTCGAGGGTCCGACCGCGCTGAGGAGCGAGCGGCCGCCGATGCCCCCGCGCTGTAGCGGCCTGCGGGTCGGAGATGGACGTGGGCGAACTCCGCGGCGGCGGCTCTGAACGCGGAGCGAGTTGGTCAGCGGCGGCTGCGGACGGGTCAGAGGGGGCGTTGGGCCTCGCCGGCAGGCCGCGGGGGGAGGCGGGCTCGGGGTGCGGCGGGGGGCCGGGGACCGGCTCTAGCGGGGCAGGGTTTAACGGGCCAAACGCCAAGGAAGCGGATTTCTGCAGCCGGGAGGCCAGTGGCTGCTCAGCTGGAAGTTTCGGGAGGCACGGCAAGCTTAACAGGTAACCTGACAGCACCGACTGTCCTATTGCTTGAGCTGAAGGCGCAGTCAGGGACCTGGTGTAGCTGGGATGCAGTCCTCACTTCAGTGCATCAGGGCAGCCTGAACCACAAACCGTGATGCTGATGATAGCCTCACGTGTAGATCACGCATCGCTGTTGCATAGCTCCTGATAAGATGTTTGCCTCGGTTTTAGGTTGGCTGAATAGATAAGTCGTTGCCCCTCTGTGGCTTCTACGTGTACTTAACCTAAAGACTATATTGAGTAGTGGTAGAGCAGAAAGCTATAGTTTTTGCGATGCTGATCCAGCACGTGAAGTTAACATGCAATATTTGAGCTCTTTTACAGATTCATGCAGTAACGGTGTACTAATAACAATGCCAGATGGCCAGGAGTTATTTAAACGAACGGTGTTCCTATCCAGTCTGTAGGATTAGAATCAATCAGTATTTTGAGGATACTGGCGGTTAGTAACTGCTTACTATTCAGTCAAAAGAGGGAGATCTTGTTACTAACCTTGCTGTTGAAGCCTCTCAAATCACGTGAGGAGTGAAGTCTTTGCATCAGGTGTATTTTCAGTACCTCATGTTTCCCTGAAGTGCTTATATTCAGTTGCAGACTTCAAGGCTAGAAAGACTTGAATGCATATAAAATTGGCATCTATTCATTATTTTAATACCAGTGAAATCTAGAGTAAGCATCAGCTTATTTTTAATTGGTCATGACGTGACTTTGCCATCCATGACATGTTGGAGTTGGAAAGGAGGAAAGCAGAGGAGAAAAGATTAAGCATCAGAGAAGTGAGAAAGATACAGCAGGAAGTGTTTCAGGATATTCTGTGACCCTGCAGCTAAGGCTATAAAGTTAATTTAGTGAAAAATTTTAATTGCTTGACAGAAAAGAAGCTCCTATTCCAGAAGTCTCTGGTAAAGTTTAAGCTCTGTTTCACAGTGAGCAGCTGAATTGGAGCCAGTCTCACAGAGATATGGTGATGATGATCCAAGAAATGAAGAGGTGTTTGCCTGAAGACAAAAGGAGTTCCAGCAAGCCCAGTACAATCAGTGCTCTCAACTATGCCTTGCGGTGTGTCCAGCAGGTCCAAGGTATGTGGAAAAAGTCTGGCAGCATAGAAGCTATACAGCAGCTTCATTTGAATAGATGTGTTTGGCAACAAATAACTGGAATGCTTTCCTTTGTTTTAATGTTATCTGGCAAACACTTGATTTTCTGAAGCACTGTGGGTTGTTTTAAATAATCATGATATCTTTTTTGTTGGAATGCCCACCTCCTGCTTCTCTTCTTCAGCTTCCTATAGCTAATAGGTGCCTGCTAATGACTTTCTGTATATGTTGAAAAAGTAGCATTGCTGTTTCACTTCGAAAAATTACTGATAGCCTGTGTTTTCCAACAGAACTAAGGAGCTAAAATTGTTGTTTTGCCATCATGTTCTGTCCTTTCTACTTCTTCATGCTCGTTTTCTGTAGGATAAGTCACTCCAATAGTATAAGCACTCTTCTTTTTCCCTTTGTCACTACACAGACTTTCCTTATCTCATTTGGACTTCACCAAAAAGATGACAAGAGTACAGGGGCTGTAAGAAACACTTTCAAAATAGTCTCCTTACTGACTTCCTTGTGTTTGTTTTGCTTTTCCTGTTTTTCTTCAATTTAGCAAACAATGACTTTTTCCAGGCCCTGAGTGACCGAAGAGTGTTTCAGACAGATGTGATGACATACAGCATAGAAGAGCTGGTGGCAGTTGCATCTGAACACACTCCCAAAAACACTGTAAGGAATTCAGGCATACTTAAGGGGTTCATCACTGTTTCACTCTCTGTTCAGTCTCCTTACATCAGTTTGTGGAAATAGGATATCTAAAATTGAAAAGCCTTGAAGTTTTAGCCAGACAGACCTTTGTGCTTCTAAAGGTAGATCAAGGCTATTCCTTATCTGTGCTGACTCAGGGTACCCAACAGCAGCAAGTGGAGAAAGACCTGGGTTTTTTTTAGGACCAGAAGCAGCAAATGCATCGTTTGAGTATTTGATTTGAGAATCCAGTTACAGCATAGTGATCTCTTGAGACCCACTTAGCAGAAAGCTTTCAAAGCTGATCAAGTCCATAGTTGTGAGGGACTTTGGTTTTTATTTGTGCTCCAGGAATTAGTTATTCTGTTGTTTGGGGGGGGGGGGGGGTGAGTCTGATAGCAAATCATTCTGAACAATTGCAAGCATCACTGTAATCTGTTTCAGTTTTGATACTGAAGTCTTATTAGCATTTGTAAATGCTGAGTAGGCTGTCTACAGCATTGGAGATTGGAGTGGCTCATGCATAACTTTAATTGGATGCTAAGTTAAGAGCCCATTTTTGAACCTCTCTTAGGTTGTGGTGGGTTTGAGTGGATTGGGTTTTTATCCTTACAATACTGGTGCCATGTGTTGGGGGATTGTTTTTAACAATGGTGTTTCTTCCAGGACACATTTGTGGCTGTGTTTTCCTTGCTTTCTGGACGCATGGTGCATATTTCCGAGCAGGCGGCATCCATTCTAAACTGTAAGAAGAAAGTGTTGGATTCCTCCCGGTTTGTAGAGCTGCTTGTCCCTCAGGATGTGAGTGTGTTCTACACGCACACGGATCAGTCCCACCTGCCTCTTTGGAACATGGAAAGTCAAACAGGTGAGGCTTGGCAATGCTCTTAAATGCTTTATGTGTCTTTGCAGAATGAGGATGGAATAGCTGTTCATTTTAAATGCTTATGCTAGCAATATACATTAGCAACACTTGTTCCCTTTTCACTTTGAAAACTCAAGTAGCTATGCAGCTAGTCCTAGCTAGTCTCCTAGAGGCTTAACACCTATTTGGGGTAAGTAAAAGGCAGATAAATCATTGTTTCGTGCATCATCTTATTCATTCCAAGCACTGCTGTTCTTTAAAAAGAAACTAAAGGTCTAATTGTGGTTGCTTTGTCTTTGTGGTCTGCTTGCAGCCTGCTGTGAACGTAGCTCACTAAACCCAAGTTATAAGCTGACTTGCTGTTTAGTGGTGGATGTGCTTAACTTGTGTCTTTTGAGTCCTATGTTATTTGTGAGCAATTCAAGTGTAGCTTGTGTGCCACAGCCATGGCTTTTGCCCACATAACCATGAGGCTGTTCTGGCATCAAAAAAAAAGCTGGGAAATCCAAAATCCTTGCTAGCAAAGGATGTGAGACATCAGAGGCTGCTAACACTGACATGCCAGGGATTACACGACTTAAAAGCTAGTCGTGTGCCTGCCCAGCACAGCAGTGGTGCCCCTATGGAGGAGTTGTTTTTTTGCTTTGAACTGTTACTGAACTTTCCTCTCCCCATAACTCTTGGCTGTATATAGGTTTTGGTCCATGGCTCCTAAAGCCAGGAATTTTCACCTGTCCTTCCCATAGTGATGCACTAAGGGTTTTCTAAAGATCATATGTGTTTCCTTTGAATTTAGTTCCAGGTTAGCTATTTCTTCAAGAGTGAGTGGGGTGGAGGGGAGGGAGAACACCTGAGGTGGGAGCAGACTGTTGAACAGCTAATTAAGAGCAGGTTCAGAGACTTTGGTCTAGGTCAGAAAGTCTGGGTTTAAAGCAGGGTTTAAAATATAGGTCTTTATTAACTTATACTTCCAATGTGTGTTCTTCTTACTAGCTTCTCTGTATGAATATGCCCAGGTGAAGTCCTTTTTCTGCAGGATCAGGCAAGTACATTACCAGTGTGTTGGAAGGTTTGTATCTTTCTTTTCCAGGAGGGGGAGCTGTCAGTAATAGTTTTTATGACACTGCTCTCTAGAAACGTGTGTTTTAGTCTCTAAAACTAAATGTGTAATAAGAAAGTAACTTTTAGTGTAAGTGATAACGTCCAGAAACTTACCTCAATTCTTTGTCAGAGCTGGAGTAGGTACTGAAATTATAGCAGGTGAAAAGAGTCATTACAAAGGCCTGGTTGAGATCTCATCTAGGATGTTGCGTGCAGCTGCTGCTCACACATGTTCTAGGAAGACAAACTCTCATGTGAAGTCCATCCAAGAACAACAGCTATTTGTGAGCTGAGGCTGGAGTCTCAAGTAGGTCAGTGAACCAAAGCTTGAGAGACAGAATTCTGTTTTTGTTTTTTTTTTTTCCTAAAAATGGTACAGAATAAACAAGAAAAAGAACTGTTTAACTGGAGGAGAGCACAAAAACCAAATGGGTGGTTCTTGTGAATGCATTTCAGACTGAGAATTAGAAGGTTAGACTAATGGCATTTCTGGAACAGCCTCTGAATGCAGGTATTGGAGGCAAAACACCTTGGTTTTAAGGGGTGTGAGAGCAGTATTGCTGAATGTGTTGGCCATGGATTGCAAAGGAGTATGCTAAGGACCTTAGGAAATCCTGATTACCAGGGTCTGTGCTTTAGCATGACTTCTCTGCAGGGCTCTGAGCCCTGGCATAAAGTATCTGAGTCTTGAAACTAGTGCATTAATCCCTTTTACTTTCCCTCAGGAGTGGTAAAGATCAAGAAACACGTTATTACCCCTTCCGAATCACACCATACTTAGTCCATGTGTGTACTTCTGTCCACGTGGATACAGAATCCTGCTGCTTAGCTTTGGCTGAGAAAATTCACTCTGGATATGAAGGCAAGTCAGGAGACTGCAGTCAAAAAAAACAAGCCAACATTAAAATGCAGTGTATGAAAGTCTGTTGCCTTTGTTTAGAACTTGTGCTTGGATAGGCTCACCCAGGTAACTTCCAGTCTGTGTGTGTTCATGCATGCAAATCCAGAGCATCTGTGCCCTCTGTGCAAGGTCCCAAAGAGTCTGACCTCTTCTCACTATTTCTGTTTTTGGGAGAAGTCTGTACCACCTAAAACTGTGTAATGTGATGTTTCAGGAAGCAGTGAGTCATTAAAAAGGCTCAGGAGCCAATAACCTTCTGTCACGAGCAGAAGTAACAGGTTTTCTGCCTTTGTGCATATTTTGTTTCAATAAATATTTCTTTTTCTACTAGCTCCTCGAATCCCTATGGATAAAAGAATCTTCACCACCACTCACACCCCTGGATGTGTTTTTCTTGACATAGATGACAGGTGAGATTTGAGTCTTAAGGCCTGCGAGGGTATGTATAGAGAGGTAGCATAAAATCCTTTGGTGATGAAGCTGGAGACACAATTAATGTAGTTGAACTGTGCAGTTGGCAATAGTGAATTAAACAAAGTAGTTTTGTGTTAGTAGACTCATGGAAAAACATCTAGAGCTTGACAGATATCGTCTTTGTTGACTTAACATGTGAATTAACCAGAACTGCAGTCAGGTTTTGTTATTCAGGGCAGTGGGGGGTCTGGGGGAACACAGAGTGGAAAACCTACATAATGCAAAGCTCTGGGGATTGCAGTGTGGAGATACAGCTGTACTGAGCTGGGCCAAATTTGGCAAGACTAAACCTGTCTCCTGCTGAGCCATAGGAGTGTTTTTACAACACAATTTTCAGCCTCTGTGTCAGATTTCATAGTGATGCTTATTCAAGATCCTTTTTTATGTTACATTTTCTCTTTTCATATAGACAGGCACAAAGCTGCCTGTAAATGTGAAAGTCTGCCAGATCTCCAGGCACAGAAATGTTTGTCATTAGTATTTACATACCTGCATTGCAGTGGATGATCATTAGAATGATCATATGGAGCTGGAAAATGTTCTGTAGCCTTAGTTCATGCCTCTGTGGATCATGCATGGGGACTTCACTGACAAGCAAAGGGTTAAGGATTTAAATACTCAAAACTGCACTATAATCAGTGATAACGTGTCTGGGTTTCAGAGCAGTGCCTTTGTTGGGTTACTTACCTCAGGATTTAATTGGAACGTCCATTCTGATGTATTTGCACCCAGAAGATCGCCCTTTGATGATTGCTGTTCACCGGAAGAGTAAGTACAGTTGCTTTAACAGGGATTTCCACTGCTTTTAGCATTCTTTCATTATCATATTGCTTGGCATGTGACTGATCTGCAGTGTAGACAAAGAGAAACTAATGAATTAAAGCAACCAGTTTGATCAGAGCAAATTCAAGCCCAGTTTTAAAGGAGCCCATTGTTAGTGTTTGTGCTTGCACTCCTGTGTCGTAATGCAAACTAAACCTTGTTTCTTGATTGGTTGGGTTTGTTTTTTTCAGTCCTGAAGTTCGCTGGTCAACCCCCTTTTGAACATTTACCTATTAGATTTTGTACTCAAAATGGGGATTATGTCATACTGGATACCAGCTGGTCCAGTTTTGTGAATCCTTGGAGCAGGAAAGTAGTGTTCATCATTGGCCGACACAAAGTCCGAACGTAAGTCAGCTGTAGAATTGATCTGTTAAAGTGCTTTTTGTTGAATGCTCTGCAAAACAAAACAGTCTCAGTACTGAACTAGAGACCTGGTGTTGCTCCTGCAGTCTGTGACAGCTATCTAGCATCTGTCTTGCGGCCCATTCCTTCAGAACAGCATTCATTTTAAGTATGAAAATGAGTAAATTACTTTGAAGTAAAAGGCAAAGCCAATTTTTTGTTTTTTTTTAACATATGTTTTTGCACATGGCTGATGTCCAAATACCCTGATAATGGACGTGTCTAAATCAAATATCAGTTATAGAAAGCTGAGTAAAAGCTAAAATACCATGTAAAAAGTCAATGACTTTAACCCATGATTAGCTTACATTCACTCATTATTGGCTCACCAAAACAACAACAAAAACCGTTACTTGACAGACATGTAGCTGAAATGACCTTCTGATCTGTCTTCTGGAACATTCACTTGCTACAGAATTTAAGTATTTACCAAGATAACCTCTTGAAAAAAAAAAATGCAGTTAGTATTGAATGTGCAAGTTTATTTTTTACATGTTTCTCCTTAGTTTCCAAGAGATTTGGAATACGACTGTCTGCCTGCTCTTACCTGTTTTTTCTAGGAAATGGCTTTTTGAGATGGCCTTTTGGCTTTTCAGAGTGATCTTTTATGGGGTGTGAATTCTTCTTCTGGGTGAAGGAGACAGAGGTGTAGATGCTTGTCAACCTTAACTCCTGTTGCTCTGCTGGTGTGCTGACTTCCCTGGGGCTTCACATGAAGCACTGCCCTCATAACACTACCTCACTATCCTAGCAGAGCTGCTAGTGGAACAGAAGACATCCCTTTGTATTGATTCAGTGAAGTAGTAAAAATAATGATGATAAAGAATCTGTTGCAACTGTTTTAGCTACCTTTGCTTACCAAATTTCAATGAGTAGTGAAATTTTGTTGTCTCTCTCCAGAAGCCCTCTGAATGAAGATGTCTTTGCTGCAAGAAGTAAAGAAACGAGCCATGTTGAGAAAGAGATAAGAGAATTGCAAGGACAAATTTACAAGCTGCTTCTGCAGGTAAGGAAGGTGAAAGACTTTCAAAACACTGGCTGGCCTCAGTGAGAGGCTAAAGCACCTTGTAGTGTTTAGCAAACTACTTTGGGGATGATCTTCTATAAAGCTCTGAAAGGAAAGCTCTAAATGGAGACGCGCTTGTGTGACAGCCTTAAAAGTATAGCTCTGGGTAGCCTGATTAGGAAAAAATTGTTTGCCACCTTTGCCGTGTCTTTAACATAAAGAATAAATGTAAAAAAATATATATATATGTATGATGTAAATATAATTGACAGAGCTAAATCTGTATCCTGAAACAGCTTTAAGCATGGTAAGGAATTTTTCCCAAGCAAGTGGCAAAGCCCAGAGCAATATTGACTTTTCACTTAATGGTTTTGTTTAGTTGAAGTTCTGTGTCTTAAGTCTGTTGTTTTCTTCTTTTTGTTCTCTAAGATGATTTATTTTCTTTAATTACTATTTTTCTCCCCTCGTACAGCCAGTTCACAGCAATGTTTCCAGTGGTTATGGAAGTCGTGGAAGCAATGGCTCTTATGAGCACTATATGAGCATAGCATCTTCAAGTGACTCCAATGGGAATTGTGCAGAGGATATACAGGAACCAGTAAGCCCATAAATGTGTCACTGCCTGCAGAGTAGTACAAATATGCTTTTTAAAATGACAGTTTTTACTGTGTACGTGTACAGAACTCACCATGGGTTTAATTTAATTAAATCAACCATGATAACTAGATTAATTAAGTTTACAAATACCAGTAGATACTAGGCTTAGGCTGACAGTCTGCTGGAGTTTGTAGCTCCCTCGCAGTTTGGAGAATACAAGAGCCCAGACCCATTTTAATGGCCTCATTTTATTCTGACTCCACGTTTCACTTATCTCGAGATGACATTGCAGCAGATTTGTGCAGATGTCAACCGAATCAAGAACCTGGGCCAGCAGCTGTACATTGCATCAAGGAGCAAGCCACAGAACGGGAACGAACAGGCTGTGAGCTCAGGAACACTAGGAGGTACGTTAATGTAATTATGATCTTTATGGTAACGTGAACTCTCTGTAGATCGATAGCCATGAGTTTCTAGCATGGTTTAAACATACAATAACTTTGTAACTGCTCCCTAAGGTACAGAGGAACATATCCAGCTCTTTCTAGACTAATAGAGTTTTACTTCTTTAACATTTTATAGTGAAAATGCAGGCTTGCATGTAGCAAATGTAAGTCTACTGGAGAAGCATCCCAAAGCTGCTTTACGTGGATTCTCAAAACATGTGAATTGAGATGAAAATGCAGAATAACTTAGTAATGAGAGCTGTGCTGTCATAGGCCATATATCCCTGTATAATATATATGCATCCCAGTATGTGTATATATATGTTTCTCAGTGGGGGTAGTGTTTAGATGCCTCTGAGAGGAGTCTTTGAGGATTTCTTCTTTTCTAGGGAAGAGGCACACTGCTGCCTGTTCTCTTCAGACAGTGAGAAGTGATAGCACAGAAGAACCAGGCAATGTGTTCTATGATGATTCAAAGACCACTCCACGTGTGCCTTCCTATCAGCAGATCAATTGTGTTGATAGCATCATCAGGTAATAGACTATAAAGTGATTTTAGTGATACAAGTTTAAGGATAATTGTTGCAAGGTAAAATACCTAGGCAGTTTACATTGGTCTGGACTGTTTGGGGTTTGAGTTGTGAGATAAATTTGGGATGGATTGAGATAGTTTGTAAAGTTTTCTGCCTCTCTGTGCAACCCATCCCAACACTCAGTCAGTCTGAATTACACAGTAATGAAGTATTTAGGGCCCAAAGATTCTGTTTGCAGCTATTGATGTTTGCCTACTGATAGTTTCACCACTGGTGCATAGGAGTTTAGGAGGATTTCAGTGGGCATATTATGTCAATGTCTTCTCAATATACATCTTGAGAACATCCGTATAAAAGAGTTGATACAGTTTATAGGATGTTGGTATATTTTAACCCAGAAGATAATATTTCTTTTTCTTTTTTCCCCTTTTTTCTCTTTTTCTTTTAAAGAGTAAATCAGAGAATTTGTTTAAAATACTCCCTGGAAAGCACGTATGTGCCCACAGCTTCCTGCAGTGAATTTAAAATACTAGTTAACAACACCTGGATCTCCAGTTTGGATTGTTCAAATGTTTGTCTCTCCAAATGGAGAAAAAAACCCCACAAAATAGCAAGAGCTTCCTGTGATATGCTTTTATTTCAGATATCTAGAGAGCTGCAGTATTCCAGCATTCAAAAGGAAATGTAAATCTTCTGCAAATACATCATCGTCATCTTCAGAAGATGACAAGCAAGTCCAGCAAAGTCAGCAGGAAGCTGAGGCACTGGAAGGTAACACAAAATTTATTGACAATCATAATAGACAACAGAATAGTTGTCACACTAACAGCACAAATATTTTGGTTATGTGGTGAATAGATGCTTACCTTGTTTAGATGTCACAATTAAGCTACAATATTAAGTCTTTGAACACAGAATGCATCAAAAGACCCTATTTTTTGTTGTTGCTAAATAAACCTGTTGCTCACTCATTTTATGCCATGTTTAGTATGTGCTGACATTGCTTTGGCATATGGATTATACATTTAATTGTATATAAGACTGTCTTATTTAATAGTCTGCATAGTTACTTCCTGTTTCTGAGCCACTTGATGAACTGAGAGCATTGCTTGGAATGAAATTCCATGTAGAAGCTTTGTCATTTACCAATAGATACTCCTATACTTTCAACAGTTAATTCCCAAACTCCGGTGTCTGCTGATCAGGAAGAGACACTGAAAGAGAAGACAGCTGCAGGCATGGCTGGAGCTCCTCTGGCAGACCTGACCCTGTCCAAGAAGGCTCCAAGTGTGGTGTCTGTCACCAGCCAGTGCAGTTACAGCAGCACTATAGTGCATGTCCCACACCCGGAATCAGGTACTGTTCACACTCGCAGAACACTGACTTGTCTCACTGATTTTTCCATTTAAACTGTTTCCAGGCTGAAGTAACAGCATTAGAAAGTTTTGTCCATTTGAGATACATTCTCATGAATATGAGCTCTGAAATACCTGGAAATTTTTACAGTATTTTAATAAACCTAGTTTTAACAGAGTAAATTATTTCTTTTCCCCTTTAACTTAGTCACATATCTCAAACACAACACTGTGCTTTTAGCCATTGAGGATTAAAATAAAAATGACTAGTGGGCCAGTGTTACTGTATTTTAATGCAGTAGGAGCTTAAAATGAGCATTTAACTGCTACTGTACTAAGAAAATATGAAGAAAGAAGTGCCTCTGTAATTTCAAAGTGAATTTAAAGTTTTCCAGACCATGCAAAGTAATTTGCTCAGTTGATGTTAGTGTAACTATATTTGCTTGTGAAGGGTGTATTCTGCCCCCGCCTCTGCAGCCTTTATCTGCTCAGTAGCTCAGACTAGATTCTTTTGTGTAACCCTCTGGGTGTTGTGGGAGTTGATACCAGAAGGACAGAGCAAAGAGTGAGTAATTATTTTCTTCCCTCTTCAAAGAAGTGACTACAATGGAGGATACTACGGTTGGAAGTGAACAAATTGAGCTGCCTCCTGTGCATGCTCAGAATCTCACTGCTGTGCCAGAGGACTTAAAGCCAGTTGGGCTAACAAAAGAGACGTTGTCAGCCCACACTCAAAAGGAAGAGCAGAACTACGTTGACAAGTTCCGCCAGAGGATCTTGCTTTCTCCATTTAGGACTTACCTTCAACAGGGGAGCAGAAATAACAAAGGACATTCCTGTGGCCAAGGTAGGAAGCAGATTTGAGACAGAGACTTAGCAGATGGCTTACAAAGACCAGCCTAGCAAGGAGTCTGGTTTTCCTTTGTATAATTTAGCCAGTATCTTGCTGGGGGCTAGGGTTAGGGTTTGTATGATTTAGCCAGTATCTTACTGGGGCTACAGACAGAATACTTCCTTTGAACTGCCAAGGCTTGACAACAGCATTGCCCACACAGAAGGTCTGCTCCATCTTGGATGTTGCTGCCTTGGGCTTTTCACAAAGCAGATAATTATTGCAAAAACCCTGCAAACCCCAAGGAATGTAAAAGATGTGATTGGGATAGGCCAGAATGATGGATAAGAAAACTGATTGCGGGAAGGATAATATTGTAAATATGTCAGCAAATCTGTCCTTACGGTGTGTGGAACGGTTATCCAGAGGGAAGTCAGATCTGAATAAACCACACTAAATTGTCTGGGTATTTTTTCTCTCTTTCTCTCCCTCTTTTTTCTTTTCTTGTCATTTCAGTGAATGTGTCTCTTTTCCTTCCTCCTTAGGAGATTCCACTTCAAAGCAGATGAGCCCATCTACCTGTAAAAAAGGCAAACATGGAAAATTCAAGCGCCAGAAACCTCAGAGAAAATCCTCAGATAACCACTCTACCAGTAAAAACAGAAATAGTCTTCTGTGTGTGAAGAGAACAGTTCAGAAACAGTCCTTCTCTCCCTCAGAAGTGTCCTGTTTGAGCTCCTCCAGTATGAATGTCCTTCCTCCTATGGGATTTCCTGTTTATTCAGATCCACTGTCAAGTTTTCCAGCCTCTTCTTTAGGAGAGGAGCTTGCCATTCACTCATTCAAACCTGAGCCTGTGTCATCATCACAACTATGCTGTGAAGCTCAGTCATGTCCAGTGTTTTATCCCCCAAACATAGGCACGTTTATGGCTGTATTTCTTCAGAGTTTCCCTATGTATGCTCAGATGCCTCAGTACGTCTTTCTTCCTAGCCCTCAGTACGTTTATCTCCCCTTTTCATATCCATGCACCGTACTACCTCCAGCCCCACCTCCTCCTGCTCCATCACCAATAGCACCACACGCTGTGGATCAGCCCTTTCCAGTCTCTTCTGCCACATCCATGGAGGACCGGCAAGAGGGACGGTGTGACCAGGCCCTACTGCTGAGTAGCTCACGGAGCAGCTCCCCGCTTCAGTTGAATTTGCTTCAAGAAGAACTGCCCAAACCGATGGAGCTTTCCACTGGTACTGATGTTAAAGCACATACAGAAGCTAAATGTGTAAGTAGCATGAATTTTTAATGTAGAGACCCTGACTTTGATGGTGTTCAGTCACAAACTAGCAGTGATGATCTGTGTTTCAGGGTCATCAGTTTTTTTGTTGACTGCTTTTTCCAGTGGCTGTGCTACGTAGACTACAGGGCACAAATAGCACAGGAGGTGGAGAAAGCTGTTGATTCTTGCAGCCGTGGGGTCTTGTAACAGTACAGTGTTGGCACTTAGCAAATGGCAGAAATGTGACATCTTCCAGTCTAGGCTGCCATGAGCTGCTTTGGCTCAGCACTTTGGCATCAGCCTTTTCAATTGTTGGCCAGAAGTTTGGGTTCGGGGCTTTTATGCATGTGGAACTTGGTTATAGCTGCACAGTTCACATCCTTTTTCAGCCAGTCCCACAGTCTCTGTGGAGAACCAAAACAAAGGGAAGATGCACTTCTAATTACTCCCTCTGTCTCCCAGGGATGCAGCTAATGACCGAAGAACAGGGATCCATGTGGGGCGGTTTCCATACTTGGGCATAGAAAAGGCCTCTCCAACTTCCGCGGTAAACTCAGAGGCAGGAATCTGAGCTCTGCAGGCAAGGAAAAAAATGCTGGCTCCTGAATCCAGGTTGGGCTGGAAAGGCTGGATCAGCTGAAACTGCAGGGTAGGGCCCTGGAAGGGGAGTTGCTGTACCTGTAGCCACTGAAGCTTTGAGCTTCACAGAATGAATCAGGGGAAGACTCTCGTACTTCCATGGTAGCGCACCATTGCTTGGCGCATGTGGCTGCTTCATGCCATCAAACAGGACATGAAGGGAACTGACTCCTGCTCTCTTGTCAGCAGAAAATACTGACTTAATGCAACAGTACAATATCTTGACCCAATGGGGAAGGATCTGCAGCAGAAACCAGTAACCTAGAGTGCAGGTGCTTGCCGATTTCACCATGAAGAGTGTTACCCTGAGTTTTAGACTGCCTTGTGTTTTCAGAGTAGAAACTCCAAACCTATTGAACTGATCTGAGAACTTGGTCAACATGTGACAAATTCAGTAAATGGATGAAGTTCCCTTGTCAAACTTAAATGTAATTGCCATGGATATGTTTGGTTTGATTTTTGTCTGCAGGACAATGATCCAGAAGACAGTGTTAGCAGTGCTAACCATTGTGCTTCTAGTGAATTTACTGACCACTCGCAGTATGAGGGGTCCCCCTCAGGTGCAGGTTCAGCAGCATCAGGCAGTGGATCAGCTTTGTCTGGTTCTTCAGGCTGTAGCTCCAGCGAGACTTCTGGTTCTGGCACAGGTAGGGAAATTCAAGATTTGGACGTTTGGTAATTCATAACAAGATACTGGAATGGGAATGGACAATCTCAGTAAGAGGATCTGTAGTCTTTACTTGTCACCAGGTTTCGCTGTTTGAAGCCAAGTTTGTTTCAGTCACTGTAGCTGGAAATGGCTATCTAAGCCATTCCTTTAAGCTGTAAGTCACCCTTTTGCTCATTAGTGCTTTTCTCTGCATTAGATACTGGCTTACATCTTACTTGAGTAAAGGTAAATCTGCCTAGAGTATGACCTCTTGAAACAGAAGCAGGGAAGTTAAGTCAGTTAATTTTGAGATGAATTAATAAAGCTTTGGAGATCTTAAGTTACTTAACAGAATGCACTTTATCTTTGAATTCTCAATAGTAGTATATCACTTGCTAGAGCAATCATCTTGGAAGTACCTGTGTTCGTATTACAGAGCTAGCTTGCAAGAATACACTGGTGTTTTATTTTTTGTGCTGAATTATTAGGATTTTTCCAGACATCTGCATTCCTTTTCTTTTTCATGGTAATTCTCAGGTAGTGGGAAGAGCACCAAGTATTTTCCCAGCAATGATTCTTCTGAAGCTTCCAAAGAAAAGAATGAGGAAGTAGAAGAGAAAGGGACAGCTCATAAATCCAGTCATGAGTCAGCCTGGATGATGATGGATCACACACCTGAGCAAGTTCTAATGACTTACCAAATGCCAAACAGGTTGGAAACCATGAAAAATTTCTGACATGTGGTTTGGAATTGTGCTTAGAACTGTAGAATTTCAAAGGAGACTGTGGGAACAGCGCACATTGCAATGGAACCCCAGGAAGGGGTGTTTTTGTGCGTTTTAAGCCCTGGTTATTTCCCTTTGTCTGTGTTTTTTTCTGTCTTCCCCATTTCCTCCATCAGTTAAAATGTGATAACATGTAACTTCTTTGCTGAAGTGTTAAGGGGATTGATTATTTTCCTGTACTTTGAATGCATAAAGGGCTAAAAATACTTGCATGTTGTTGGCAAATTGCTTGCAATTAGCGCTTATATCTGCAATGAGATTTCATTGCAAAACCCCAACCAAACAAAACTAGAGAACAATAAAACAAAGGGCACACAGAACACCCCAAAACTCCAAACCAAAATAACAGCAAAAAACCCGCTGACAGTTAGATCACTGTTGAAAGGAGCCTTACAAAGCAAATAAGGTTTAACAAGCTCTTGGTACTTTTCAGTGGCTGATGCTCTCTAGACTTCAGCCATAGACAGATATTGATGAAGAGACCCCCAAGGTGATTGTATTTGGTGCCTGCTTTGCTTCATTTAGTGGAGCTATATTCACAGGTGTCTGTTTCCTGCAGAATTACAGAGGAAGTTTTAAAGGAGGATCTGGAGAAGCTGGCAGTCATGCAAAAGCAGCAGCCGTGGTTTTCGGATGGGCAAAAGAAGGAGCTTGCAGAGGTACACACATGGATCAGGACCCAGACTGTCCCACTGGAAATCAGCACCCAAGTAAGCAGTTGTGAAAGGGATCTGAATCTTATTCATGCCTTGGCTAGCCAGTAGCAGTGCCATTTCTAACCAGTGAGATCTTACAGTGGTGGGGTCACTTGATGGTTGTTCCTCGTAGATTATGTAAGGAAATGAGCTCAAGTACATATAAATGTGCCAAAATACAGATCTTCCCATTGTATGTCTTTGCAAGATAGATACTTAAATTCTTTGTAGGGATCACCTGTAACAAAGCTCCTTCAGTCAACGCCTGGATGAACAGGAGTAGTGTCATACTGTCACATAAGAATCCATATCTGGCAGGGTTTTTTTCTGTTGGCATTAGGTCTTTTATTCTTTTTTCTACAAATTGTTGCTAGGATTGCACAGCAGGTAACACTGGGCTGTTAGTGGAGATTAGAGCAAACACAGAGGAGGTTTAGGCATATAGTAAGAGACACAAAAATAGCTGCCTTTTGTAGGTGGATTCATCGTTTGAGAATTTTGGTGTCTTATGCCTGGTTATTTTACCTGGCATTACTTTTGGCTACTCTGATAAACTAATTCTGAGTTGTATTAGTGTATATTGAAGAACGCCCTAGTCACTTTGAAGTGCTCGCAGGTACAATGGAGAAGAAAAGAGCAGGACAGAACCAGTCCCACAAAGATCTAGAGCTCCAATGATGTGTTGTACAGAGCATTTCAGGGCAGAGTGGGTTGTATTCATGTACTCATGCAGCAGAAAAATATCTGCTATTGCACTGTCTGCTCTATGTGCTGGGATTTTCAAATGTGGTTTTGTGAGCTGTGGTATTTATTCCTGGAGCAGAAAAACTGAGAAGTCTATGTCATCAGCTCTGGAACAAGACCAGAAGATTAGTGTTTGTTTGCCTAATACAAGAGTCTTGTGTGTGTCCTACTGTGGTTAGGACCACGTGTTTGATTCAGATAGCAAACCGATGTCCAGTGGTCTTGCAGAAAATACTGTTGAATGTTAACATCTCAAATGTTATGAGATGCATTGGTATGCAAATACAAGTATTTGATAGCAGGATTTCTATTTCAGTACTTGATTTCAGTATCATACCATTTGTCAAGAACAAGAAAAATCTGGTCTGTCAGTACACTCGGGCACCTCAGCCTTTTGTTGTTGGTCAGTATTGTTGCTGTTCAGACTGCAATCCAAATCCTTAATGAGCGTCTGGGTTATAAGGCTGAAAGATAAGGCCTTCCAACTCCAGGAGCTCATATGCCTTTTTATCTCAAAGCTAAAACTGTGTTCCACTAACCAAAGAACTAATTTCTGAGACAAGAGAAGTTGGAGATGAAAGTGCTTCTGAATATATCTGTATAATACAATTTCTGCTTGTAGAAAGAATTTGAGCCCAGGGGTGAGAAGTTTGAAGAGTTTTCAATGTGCAACCAGGATTTGACTCCTGGAAATATAAAAAGAATTTAAATTGTTATGTTCTTGTTCCTTTTTAAAGGGCTGTGTTACATGTGGCATCAGGGATGCAAGTTGTGAGGCTGCAATGGCTGCTGACAATATGGAAAACAAGGGAAAATTGCCTCCGCACCTGCAACACTGAAGTCACCAGCACTTGTGTCAGTAAAACCACTTGGTGTAATTCCCATCCTCTTTTCCTCTGCCTTCGCTACATACTAGTGGTGACTGTATCTGGCTATCTCTTCCCAACATGAACAATCACATATGTGAAACTAAATCTTCCTCCATTACCCCATCGCTCCTGGCGTGACTTTGAAGACAATCTTTCACTGTGAGGCTGTTTCTCTTCCTGACCTCACAGACTTGATGCAGAATGGATTATGTTTCTAACTTTTGATTGCTCAGTGATGAGCAAAACACAAAGGAGTTCTGGGATGTGTTTGTATATTTGAACTTGGCAAGTAAGAGTCTGAAAAGATGCAGTGGTTAAGATCTGCAGTGATGAACCTAACAGACTGGAACATGTAGGCTAGATGTATTGAAACCAGCATTGAAACCAAGGTGTTAGTTTTCATTTGTTCAACATTTAAAGATCTAAACTGAAGATTCGGATGCTCTGAGGCTCTAAAATCACTGTAGCTGGTTCAAGAATCCAGAAAGCTTTTTGATGAGCAGCTGAAAACTGGCTGAGTTATCTGCATCAAAATGCCTTTCACCAGCTTGTGCCCATCAAAAACTGAAGTGCAAAGAAGCAAAGCTATTCCCTATGTTTTTCACGATGAGTGTTTTGGAACCAAGTTGGTTTATAGCTTTTGCTTTTAAAGCTGTGTTTCTCAAGATGGGTGTTTAAAATGGATTGAGGGTAACTGGTTTGCAGCTCCACTACAGATGAGATTATAAGTAGCAATCAAAACAAAAAAAGTAATAATTCAGGAGTTATTTCCTTGTACAGGATCTGCTTTTCAATAAAAACACATGGGAAACCTTTTCTATGAAGGCATTATAGCCTAGTTACCAGTTCAAGTAGCTACAGGCAATCTTTTCTGTTGCTAGTGCTCTGGGCAGCAGATTTGTGTCTTAGTTTTTTTGTTGCTCATTTAGAGTAGTTGGATGAGCTGAAGCCAGACGTAATGAATAGGACATTTTAAGCCACTTCCCTGTTTTGTTTTTGTCATGGTGATGCCAAAAAAAACCAACCCAAAAGATGAAAGAGATTGAGCTTTATTTCTTCTGCTTTCTTGAAAAGTCACATGTTGTGGAGCCAAACTTGAACATCAGACCACAGATTTCTTATCACTTGATTGACTTCCTGTACAAGTTTTAACCTCTTTCTTTATAATGGTGGCTCCGGCTGTAGAAATCCATGGACAAAAATGTAGTTTGTGCATGGTGTGAGTTTGTGGCTCAGAAAGTGGTAACCACTTTCTCTTTCGGTGTGTAAAAGGACTTGTTCTCATGTTAGTACTTCTAGCTTCAAGCTGAATGTCTCAAAGTGCTCTTCAAGCAGGACACGCTTCATAAACCTAGCAGATTTTGTCTGATTTCCCCTTTGTTTATCAAAGCTGGATGTAATCAGATTTTCTTTGTGGAGATCATCACCTCAGCCTTCTCAACAAATACTGTTGGAATGTAACACGATTCATCCTTTTGTTCTGTGTAACTCTTCCTTTTCTGCTATGTGAAGGTTTTTCACGTTTCATTTACTGGTGAGCTTCACATGGTTTGACTGAGTTACAGATACTGTGATCTGCAGAGCTTCGAAGGACAACTATATTTATCTAAAGAGGTTTGTTAGTTCTTAGAATCAGCTCAGTGACAATCTTTGTCGTTCAAGCCTATTTCAAAGAAAGGTATTTTGACAGAATTTCTAGTCTAATTTGACCCAGGCAGCATTCTTTGGCTTTATTTTCTAAGTGTGCTCTGTTCATGCCTATTGCTTTCTATTTATTCTCAAGCTGCATTTCATTGTCTTTCAGTTTTTCAGCTTGAATTTGTCTTCTCTTGTGTTGTAAATCAGCAGAGGTCCACACATGGTCAGTAGTTTTTGTGTTCAAACAGCTCTTAAAATAAGAGACTTTGATGGGTATTTACGTATAGCAAATCATGTACTCAAGCAGGAAAATGTGGGCAATACCTTATACCTTTCCTAGTCTTTTCCCAGCACTTTCCAAATAGAGTATTCTGCTTTATAACCACACTGTCCAAAGTATTTGCTCCAAAACATGTAATAAGATGCTTTGTGTTACAGGTTCTTTTCTTAATTGGGAAGTTTCTTAACTAATTTAGCTGTCAAATTGTGCTTATGCACTAGAATCCATTCTAGTTAGATGTGCTTATGTTGACTGCTTTAATGTGTTTTGAGACTTGGTGAAATAGATCAGTGTGAATGCTCCAGGTAAGGATGGCTGTCTCCTTCAAACTAGGTAGGAAGTGGAAGCCAGAAGGGAAGTGTAGAAAAGCTATTCTTGCTGTATGTTATTTCCTGAGTATGAAAATGAGATGGTTTGCAATGTGTTAGCAGGCATACATGTCATCCGCCTTACAACCAGTGGGGCTTAGTTTAGGAGAAAGTTAATAATGCACCTAACAGTTGAAAGATGCTTTCCTTCCCTAGGTCTGGAAACATGCTGGTTGTATAAAAGAGGCAGAGAGACAAAGGGCTTGCACAATATATACCCCTGGTTCAAACCAAATCCAGGAGTATAACTTGTGGAGCTTCACTCACTGTATCCTGTGCTGTCTTTGCTACAATTGGTCAAGTTTCTGACCTTTATATAAAAACTTGATCGTATTGTATGTGTTCCTTGCTTGGAGATGTTAACCCTGTTTGTAGCACTTGCTCCTGTAAATTTGTGCCCAGAAAGATCCTTCAGCGACAGAAATCCCAGACATCCTAGTTTTTGTAGTTCTGTGAACATCATACCCTCTGACCATACAATAATGAAGGTGCATGTGCCTAGGAGCTTGAATTCAAAGTTTGTAATCCTGGCTAAATCTTGGGTGCAAGTCCTTGTCTGGGGCTATGTTAGTCCTGGGTTATAGAATAAATATGGTGTGGGAGAAAAAATAAGACTGAAGAGGTGAATCAGTGCCCTGTGTGATGATGAAACTAAATATTTGCCCCAAAATCAAGCGGTGTTTGCTGCAAAGCCAGATTTAGAACAAAAAAAACAGTTTCTCAAGCTACTCTTTACCCCGCTAGAACCACACCATCTTGCAGTCAAATGCCTTATCAAGCTGTTCGGGAAGGACCTCATTTCCATAAGGTTTCAGGAACTGGTAGTTTCTACGTCGGTTTATATTACTCTTTCAGTCTCTAGTTTGCTGGAGCAGTCAAAGTGAGATCCAGTTCTGTTCTGAAAGATCAGTGGAGTAAATAGTGCAGCCAGATTTGCACACACTATTTTGCTTATGTGGCTTTGTCTTACCTGGCATAATTTAAACGTTGCAGACAGGTTAGAACTGTTGGGAAGGTCACTTCTTTGGTGACCAAAGGGAAAACATGCAAGTGCAGTAATGATGCAGTTAATACCCCCTGTGGGGGCAGCAGCAGTTTAGAAGCCCTCGGTGGATTTCTCTGGCAATTTCTTTTTTGTTGTATTCATAAAATACAGAATTGTGTTTTTAAAAGAGGAGTTGATGTGCAAATATTTTCATGGCATTGTGAGGAACAGGAGGGACCTGAATGTGTTTTTCCAGTGCGATGAGTATTTGCTGAATGAGTCACGGGTTGGTAAGTTTATCTTCCAGCTGAATCAAGTTTTAAATTGCAATCAAATGAATTTTTACATCAGGAATATTTTATTGATACAATACTCAGCTGGGGTTGAATTTCCAGGTGTGATTTTTCGCTGTAGACTTCAAAGGAGCTTCTGGTTTTATAAATAAAACTGAAAATATGCTGCAAAAAAAAATGTTTCCAGGGTGTGTTTACTTTTGGTGGTGTTAATGTCTAGAAAATAGACTTGTACAAAACTATTCATGATCTCTTTCTGATTGTACATAGGTGCTCTTGTGGGGTTTGCTTATTTTGCCTTATGTTTGCAATATTTGAAGCGGAATTGAACAGATTTATTTCTTTTCCCTCCACTGTTTGTAGGCTCTACCCCTTTCCATGTCTATGAAATAAATCTGCCTTAGATGGTTACTCATTTAGATAAATTTGGAGTCTTTCTTACAGTTTTTATTGACTGATGAGGAGGCAGGAAAGGAGGAACTTCCAGACAGGCACTGACTGCTCCGTTGTGTAAGGATGAATGTTCAGAAGACTTCAAGTAGCTGCACAGTGCATCCAGCTGCTGTAAGGACGTTTTTCTTTGCTATAACTGCCTTCATCTGTCTTACAATTTATGTGAGGTGAGCAAGCTGCATCAAGCCTTGTTTAAACAGCACATTCAGAGATTTATGATGTATATTATTGCAATTGATGTAGTATGTGTATTAAGTGAAGTTTGTGTCAAGCTTTCTTTGAGCCTTGATTGGCATGAGATACATGCAGAGCATGTATTGAACAAGGTAGGGCTTCACAACTTAGACTGAGAATGTGCATACTGTCAAGATTGCCATCCCATGGAGGGGGATCTTTAGCTTTATTCATTGCAGATATTACTGAGAAGTACCTGGGATTGAGCAGTTATTTCTCTCCAGTGGTAGTGGGAGCAGATGCTTGATCCTGATCCTGAAATGTGCTGATTGTTTCCATGGTGCCTTGTGGATGTTAGGAGGGGATTGGGCACTGCTAAGCTGCCATCCCTCACTGGCTCAGCATCATCAGAGAATGCAGCAATGACCCTCTCTCCCTGGCATCCCAAGCTATGTCAAGAGACCAAGCAACAAAAGAGAAAGTCCTCTTGCCTCTGGACTTAGATGCAACTGAGGCATCTTCTGAGAGGTTTCATGGGACCCCATGGGAATCTTACTTCCCCTGCACGAGTTCTTTTCATGTTGCACATTTATCTCTTTGTCCCATTACTTTCTTCTATTGTCCTGTAGTCTTAAGTAAATACCACACTGCTCACAGCATCATTGCAAAACATCAAGAATTTATTAATTTCCAAGTAGCATAGAATGTAAAGTTAGGAGCTGTCTTCATGTTTCTTCATTCTCAAATCAAAAGCAAATCTATAAACATGTTTTCAGACATCTGTATAAATTACACAACCAAAGTCAGGGGGACTTTCTTCTCCTGCTTACACACAATATTTCCAGAAGCACTCGGAAAGATTCCCACGTTTCTTGTACTGTTTCCTATCCTTGGTCAAGAAGCGGCCCAGCAAAGCAATTCGAGGATGATTTCCGTAGAAAGTCTAAAGTCAAACACCATTAGACAGGTTACTGTTGGATGATAAATGTTCCCAGTGGGAAAGTCCATTCTTCAGTGCCCCAACTGACTGCACAGCCCTGTGTTCTGACTGGGGGAAGGAGAGGCGACTGCCCCATGTGCCCTCTGATTTAGGTGGTGCACTGAAACTGGTCCCCGTCTTCTGCCTTTATATTTAATTCAGCAGGAATTATGTTCTCTATTTACCTAATGGTTCATAACAAATCTGATAATACTGTGTAGCCTATGTTGTAGTGTTGGGGGGAAATGACATGCAGCTTATACTGGTTAATGGCCTGGCTTGGTGAAGCTGGAAGTTGGCCTTTATTTAGTAAAGCAGTTTTTCGGGGTGGGTAGAATGAAGAGCTCTCGATTATTTGCTGGTTTCCCCACCTCCCACTTACCTAACTAGCTGATTCCTGCTTCAAGAGCACTGTGGCATGTTTTAGTCTGTACTGTTTATGAAGTCTTTGGTTCTTAAATGATGATAACAATTTCATGTATTTTAAAATGTGGTTTAAAATGTGGGGTCTTGTTTTTCTTGTTTCAGTGACAGGTGGTCATTTGCTTACCTCTTTGATATTTTCCCTTGGGTTGTAGCTGCTGGGGCTAAGACCTGGAGAGGGGAGACATAATGAAATGTTTACCATTTAGAAATGAGGAACCTATGGAAGGCATCGTGTGCCATGATTCTGGAGCCAGCAGGAGGCTGGAATGTTCAGTGGACCAAATAGAAAACCCTTTTGATGCAGCAGGGCCAGTTCTCCTTACAGGATCTGGGATTCAGCAGATGCAAACTGTATTGTCCTTCAGCAGGCATCTGTTGCCCCCAGAACCATCTGCTGCTGTTGCATTTTCTTCAAGTACTGATGGTTTTTAAGAGACTTCCGTTTTGTTTTGTCTGCTAGCTCCTTCTAGGCCAGTTTTTGCCTTGCCCTGGTTTTGTTGTATGGAGGTTTTACTAAACTGAGTTGGAGACATTTTACAGCTAATATTGAGCTGCAAGCATGGCTGCTCAGCAGGTTTCCCCAAGGTCCCAGTTCACTAAATGTCAACTCTCTGTTGCTTGCACATAATGCTGTGCTCCAGAAAATACCCAGGAGTGGGACAAAATATTTATGGAAGCTGGACATGCAGATCATGGGCACTCCTCCATATATTGTTGTGGTAAATTCCTCACCTCCTTTATTGTCTTCAGTCAGTGTGCCCAAGAGCTCTGGCAGGAACTGAAGCAGGGAAGTGCTTCCTAGGCTGCCCAGTCTCTCCAGGTCTAATCTTGGATCTTCATCAGCTGCAAATGGAAGATGACAAAGAAGCATACAGTAAGAGGGTTTTTTGCTTTGAATCCCTGTTTCAGTCTGTCTCAGATGATTTCTCATCGGGTCTGTTGGCAGCCTGATGAAGACTATAATGAAATTGCTTATCCTCATTTAATGAATATAATAGGGATACTTGTGTGTTTTGTCTTGGGTTTTTTACTTCCAAAGCTTTGAGAAGAGATACCTTCCTGATGTTAATGCCAGGTCCTCATTTCTCTGGCAGGTCTTTCTTTAAGAAAGTTTTTTGACCCAACAGCAGCTGCTCCCATTGCTTGGGGAACTCACACACCAGTTTTTAGTCCATTTCTATATCAACTAGTTCCTATGCTGGAGCTTTTTCATGAATGAAGACAAAGCTTCCTGTTCAAGGCCTATTAACCTGTTTGGTTTCCCAACTATTAAATGCAATAAAATGAGGTGAAGGGCAGGATAAATGTAGGAATATTTTGGCAGCTGTGCTTCTCGATGCGTTTCAGTCATCTCATTTAATGTGTGTACCAGTTACAGATACTACTACTTTTTCTAAAACAACAGATAGCGGATACCTGATGGAATTAATTTGTAGGCGCATAGAGAATTTGGATTTCTGTAACTAGGCTGTGCCCTGGGGCAGCTCTTCAGTAGGAGCCCTTCGTGGTGTTACACTTGAGGTAAATAAGGCTTCTGTAATCTGAACAGTAAATTTCATGTTTGCTAATATATAGCAGACATTCAAAACTGGGGGCAATGAGAGGGTGCTATTGTCAAACTCCGGTTGTGGAGATGAGTATTGTTTTCTAGTTGCACTTTTAGGTGATACTATGGCATTCTAGTTGCTCTTACCTGCAGGGTGGGTAAGAATCCCTAACTCCTTAATAGGGTGTATATATAAGAAAATAAGCTGCTGAAAATAATCCCTCAACACTTCAAAATCTTAGACATAGATCAAGAACATGAAGACCTTTGATGTCCACATTGTTAGTTTGTTCACTGTACAAATGGACAGTTGCAAAGGACAGTAGGGATTTTGGTGTAAGACACTCTATAAGAGTATTGTAACTTCCCAATAATAAGATAATTCCTCTCTCTAGCCTTGTATTGTTTTTAAATTCAGAGCAGTGTTGGCAGGTAAATTGATTTTGAGATTAAAAAACCCAAACCAACAAACAACAACAAAACCCAAACCAAACCACAAAGCCATAAATGAGAGCCCTCTTTAATACAGAGTTCTATCTTATCCAGTGCACAGACTTTATATTAGCAAGGAAGATTTAATAAGCCTAATGGATGTCTTCAAACAAATGCAGTAATGTTAGAGCCAGCTTGTTCACCCTGTGATGTGATAGAGGCTATCCATACTGAGTCATGGTTGTCTGTAAATGCAGGTTACATAGAGGAAGGCTTAAGAAGATGCTGGCTTAGTGAGTCCAAGATGTTCAAAACAAGCTAGGGACTACTGATACCTATAAACCAGCACAACGGCTGTTGTACCTGAAAACCAGGTAAGAACAGCCACTTCTTAATAGTCAGCTTTATGCAGTAACTTTGGGTTTGATTTGCCTGGCTTTTCAGAACTCATTTCAGAAACTCTTCCAGTACAGGTCCGCTCTGATGACAGCAGCCATCCCAGTTGTTGTGCATCTTTACTGAGCTCTTCCAATCTTGATGTATGCTATAATGCCAAACTTTGAGGGCAGCTTTTTCAAGCCAAGATTCATTCTTCCATTGGACTGAATGGAATTTGCTTTAATGCAAACAAATAGCATGCTCAGTACACTGTTTTTGTAGTGTAAGACAGATTTGCCTGTTCTTGATCTCAGTAGGAATGCATCAATCTCTGCAGTAGGTTTCCCCCTTTTTAAATACAGCTTCAGCTAAATATCACTGTACAGTCAAGTTTCTTTAAATTACTCAATGCCTACTAATGCTGCTTCAAAGACAGATGCTGTACATGCCAGCTTACATTCGGTGCTGGAAGGCTCAGATACCTTTGTCTCCTGGATCTTAAAGCAGCGGGAATAAATATTTAGGGCACCCAGTTTCCCCCATTTTAAAGAGTAGCCTTCACTGATGATGTCACGTGTGCTGCCAGTGTTGGGAAGAAATTCCCACCTTTGCTAAGCTGGTCAGCACAGATGAAGGCCCCTCAGAAAGCATAGCTGCTTCTCTTCTGGGTTTGCTGCTTCAGCCCCTGCTTTCTGACCATTAAAATCAAAATGCTCTTACCTGAGAGTTGATACGACATCTCACTGGCATTGATGATGGGGAGAGATGAGAGAGGACAGGAGAAGCCAATAATAATGAGACAGCAGAATACCAGCTTATGCATCGTTGCTGTGTTGGATGGATCTCGTCTTTGCCTACTCCTGTATCTCCAAACTCCTGTCTGTTGCCTCTGCTCCCTGTTTCACCCGTTATATAGCCGCTCATGACCTCATAAATATCATCATGTTCTCTCCCCCCTTCAGAAGAAAAAAATCCAATGAATTTATTGCCCATTGATTCTAAATGGAAACCACTTTGCATTGATGTAATTTTTCAAGGTAACAGTTCATAGACAATAAATTTACTGTCTTATAGCTTGGTGTACAAAATGGATATTATATCAAACCAAGCACAGTAAAGTTTATAAATCTGGCATTAAAAAAAAAAAGTAACTTCCAGTTATAAATCATGAGTTAACAAAAGGGTCAGACATTAGTTGAAATGACCAGGGCAATCAGACAGCTGATTTATGAGCCTTAGCAGCCTTGACGCAAAGCATCTGATATGAAATTCACTTTTTTTTTTCTTCTTGGGAGATGGATGGATGTGTTGTGTTGTATTTGGGGTTCTTGTGCCAGAAAAAGTACAAGAGAAGGGGAGTTAAAATATTGAGTTAATTTACAAAGGGAATGGAAGGGGAGTTTGATTTCTGAGCTCCCTGAGCCCCCCAGAGCATTTCACATCTATTTATTTGAGAAGACCTCATCCAATGTTGCCCTAGAGAACTGTCTTGGCAGAGAAAGCACAGCTTCCATCTGGAGACTTGCTTGGTACATATAAACTACTTTGGCTGATATTAAACAGAGGTCCCTCGCTAGACTGGGAGACCCTTTTCCATTTTGCTTATCTTCTCTTTCCCCCATTGGAACTAACTACCTAATTCTGTGTGTGTTAGCTAAGGGTTTTTGAACTTTTTCAGCTTTTGCTTTTTTTTTAATGCTAGCACAGTAGTTGCTGTATGTAATCTCAAACTTTAGTCTTCATTTCCCTCCATCTAGCATATTTTGTCTTCTCTACTTACTATTTAGTATCAAAGAGAGAAGACTAACTGGACTGGTCCCTCATCTTCATTCTCTGTGAAGCATCATATCCAACTGTATAGAGCCTTGTAAGTAAGTTACAACAATTTTGTTTCCTTCAGGTGGTGAGAAGGTTATGGCTGTTCAGGTCCATAAGGAATTAAAGTTTGGTAATTTTCTTTCCTGCCTCTCTAATCAAATGTGCCTTTAAATGCGCTTCAATATACTGTAAAATTCAACTGACATTACTGAAGTTCTTTCCCTCTGCTGAATTGTGTGATAATTTTAAGTTGCAAAAGGAGTGATCTGCTTGCTTTTGTCTTCATTAAGGTTTCCTGTTGAAGATTAATTTTTATGTTATAAACTTGGTGACTCCTAGGGTTAATTGCAGATTAACTACAACAGTCATCTAGAGCAGAGCTATTTCTGCTGCAAGTCTAACTCAGAGAGAGCACACCCCAGGCTAACGGGTTGCCCAGACAAGCTGTGGACTCTGTGAATCTGGAGCTCTTAGAATCATAGAACAGTCAGGGTTGGAAAAGACCTTAAGATCATCCAGCTCCAACCCCCCTGCCATGGGCAGGGACACCTCACACTAAACCATCCCACCCAAGGCTCTGTCCAACCTGGCCTTGAACACTGCCAGGGATGGAGCATTCACAACCTCCCTGGGCAACCCATTCCAGTGCCTCACCACTCTAACAGGAAAGAATTTCCTCCTTATATCCAACCTAAACTTCCCCTGTTTCAGTTCTAACCCGTTACCCCTTGTCCTGTCACTACAGTCCCTAATGAAGAGTCCCTCCCCAGCATCCCTCTAGGCCCCCTTCAGATACTGGAAGCTGCTCTGAGGTCTCCACGCAGCCTTCTCTTCTCCAGGCTGAACAGCCCCAACTTTCTGAGCCTATTGTCTCTTCTATTGTAACCTCCCCTGCTCAAATCAGGGTCAGGCAGAGCAGTTTGTCCAGGAGTGTATCCAGTCAGGTTTAACAGCTCCAGGGATGGAAGGGGCTGAATTTCAAACCAAGGCTTTGTCAAGGCTGTGGGCATCCCCATGTAAGCTCAAATGCTCTGCTTTGAATGTAAAGGTGGGAGAGGTAAGAGAGGACCTGCAGAGGTCCTTTTAACCTAAACTTCTCTGTCATCCTGTGTGTACAGAGGTCTAATATTGACTTACAGGACATATGCTGCAGGTGTCTGAACTACAAATCCTGTTTCTCGAGACTTTTCTTTGCTGAAGTGAATGGATATGACAAAGTAATTTCTCTACAGAATTAACCTAATTCCTATATTTTATACACCTCTTTCCCTGTGCTTTCCTATGAGAGAAGTAACAAGAAAGGAATTCTCTCTCCTCATCTGAGTCATGCAACTCTTCATTCCAAAACTGCAGACAGTAATTAGGTCTGATTTGATGCATGATCTCACTGTTGGTGCTGGATGCCCTGTACAATGCTTCTCCTTCAGTGAACTGTCAATGACAATGGCATTGTCAATATTCACTCTGAGCATCCTCCAAAGAAAGCTAATGAAGCACTCTTCACAAGCAACCGATGTCCTTTATCTTCTCTCAAGGAAGACTCAGCCTCTTAGAGCCATCATGAAGTGCGTCATGTGGAAGTCGGGCAGCTTGCCCACAGCTTATTGCCTTTACTCAGATTTGAAATGGTCACTTAGACACTCTTTCCTCTACCAAAATGTCAAAGGCATTTTCCCCAGGGGACAGTGCACACGTCATCATGCAAAGCAAAGAAACAGCTCATCCTAAACGAAGGTACAAAGCCCTGAGCACTTGGGTGAGGGACGTAAGTGTGAACTGCACTTTGAAAACTTGGGAATCGACTTAATTCTTACCAAAACTGGTTTGTGGGCAAACTTAAATAAGTTTTATTCTCATAGACTTTGAGGTGCCTCGGTGTAATGTTAGAGAGCAGCAGTAGTCCAGATAAATCACTGAGCAAACTCAAAGTAGTAAGTATGTGTTATCCTATCATAAAATATTATTCTTAATTATCAGAAGAAACAGCTATTCTTAGTTTGAAATGATGGCTCGTGAAGACTAAGTTGCTGATGAAATCACAAAAAACTTAAAGACACAACAAAACCACCCACCAAAATCATACAAAAATAGGAAGGATTAAATCTCATCTATAATGCAAAAGCTCTTTCCCCTGTTTTAAACTGCATTACGATAAGCAAGTGTAAATTGTTGTTTTAGTGCAGTATTGTGACACTTGGAAAGAGCAGGAATTTGAGAGAGAATGCGATTTAGCAGCAGCATTCGCATGAGGGACTTTTTCCTTGGTATAACTTTTGATGTAGCTTTTTGGCTTGAATTTAGTAATTTGCAGATGAGCTTGTTTGATGTAGGTTTCCAGCTCTTCCTTGAATTTTACTAGAATTTTTAACTTAACCTCTTGTTTCAATGGGTTTACACATATTGGCTGGTGCGAGAGAAAAACATACCTGTAGTATTGCTTGCTTCCCTGCTAGGGTCTAGCTTATCATTGAGGCATTTTGGGGAGGGGGGTTTGCTTTGCTGTCACTGCTGCCTTAGCAGATTGTGGCCTCATTAACACCAAAGTTGTTAACACTAACTTAAAATTTCCCATTTTAGCTGATTGCTCAGCTTTGTGACATGGTTGTTAGACCATTGTGAAATCATGTGTGCAATAAGGCTTTTTCCTGCCGTTAGTTTGCATTGCTTTATGTGTACTCTACATTCTAGAGTGTGCAGAAAACAGCCTATTGGGAGACTCAGCAGATCAAAGGAACAAAACCAACCGTACCTTGGGCGCTTGTAGTTAACTTCCTCCTTTGAAGATGCTGCTTCTGCCTAACTGTAATGTAGCACACGTGGTGTGTGTTCTGTAGAATCACATAGCACTACATGGTGTGTTTGGCTGTGCATAGTAGCATTTCTATCTTCTGAGTTTCTCTGAAAGTTAAGCAGGATTTCTGAGAGGTTCTGACCTAGGTTTTCTTGCTCTCTGGTGGACTGAAGGGGCATACGTGTGCTTCACAGAATACATACCTGTGTGTAAAAGGAGATGGCAGCAGGTCCATAGGCCTTTCTGAAGATATTTTGCTGCAGAATTGGCAAATTGTCTAAAAGTTCTCTGGTAGAGAAGCACAGCTGCTAAAACACTGCTCCTTTGTGGTAGAGTTTCCACCAGTTTGGGAGGGAAAAACCCTCTTGATTTTTGGCCCTGCTGGGCTGGCAGACTGTAGTCTGGGTATATTCTCCAAGTGAAGCTTGACAAACTGGTCCTTAAATCCCTGTCCTCTCAGCACTACAGAATTAGAAAACTTGAAGCTTCACACTGTTGGACATGAAGGAAAGTAAGTCTGGCGTGACTGGAGCTTGGAAATACAGCACATCACATGGGAATTGGGTTCTGGATAATGCAGCTGCAAACCGAGGAGCAGAGACCAGATCCTGAAATCAGGTTTCTTCCACCAAAAATGTAATGGAACTAACTATGCAATTGCAGTTTATTTTTAAAACTGCAATTACGAGAGCAGGGAAGTGCTGATTCTTTTCTTAGTAGTGGGGATGATGGGGGGTGGGCAGCCCAGGCTGTTGTCTTGCTCTTGTTCTGGCTCAAAGTGAAGAATTGCAGAAATACTAAAGCAGCAAATTGCAAAAGATGGATGAGGTATAAGAGGTGTCTCCCATATCTCCCTGATTGAAACTGCTTTATACCCTGTCAGCTGCAGGGTGCAGATATTGGACACCTATGAAGAGTTTCCTGTCTCTGAAGATGGCCTTGTTTCACTGTCTGCAAAGCAAGAGGCAAACAGCTTGCATCTAGAGAGAGCATGGAACAAAGGCAATTTTGTCACAGGTGTCCTTATGCTTTTCTTTATTTTCCTGTTCAAATGTTCACCTTTATGTACTTGTTTTATTCACTGCAGAGTCTCAGGATCGCTCTCATACCCACAGCGGGTACGAGAGGACAAATTTCAAGTACTTCTATAGAAGTTCAGTGTGTGGGCAGGAGCTATGGACTAATCCAAGAGGTATCCTAATGATCACTGGCATTTAACTGCCCTACTCAGCGTAGGCAGTAAATGAATGGCTCACAAAAGCAGACTTTAATTTTTTACTTCACTTCCCGAGTGCATAATCCCTTTAATCCTTCACTACTTGGAGGTTTTTTGTTAATTAAATGGAATCTCTGCAGGCTCTGTGATTCATATTCCAGGACAAATACGTGTACTTAACAGGGGGAAAGTTGGCATAGGTCTCATTGGGCATCTTTAAAGCAGTTCTTTCAAGGTTATTTTGTAAATGAATGCATGTTTCTTGGCAGTCAGCCATGTGGAATCTTCCCTTCACTGTTTGAGACGGATTCCACTTTATCAAATAATTCCCACTACAAGCATGAACTGATTTTCTCTGTGGTGACTTTGTCTGATCTGACTGGAGTGGAAAGCTGTCCCTGTGGATGGGAGTGATCAACAGGATTAGGAATTAGCAAAGGGGAAGGAAGCTGATTGCAGGTCCTTGTCTCTGATTTGACAAGTTGAATGTTTCTTGCTGTGCTGGAACTTAGTAATGGAAGCCAAGTCCTCCTTCCAGCAAGAATTCCCAGGGCAGATTGGTGATACATGAGAGTTCTGAAGTTGCTATTTAGCTGCTGTTTAGTGGTTAAGAAGATTCCTCGCATAGCAGGAGGTGAAAGATGTGTAAAACCAGGAGAAGCTCCAGGTCTTTTGCAAAGAACCAACACCCAAACTAGCTTTTTAGATGCTCTTTATGGTGATTTTAAGGGTCTTTTCCAATTTAAACAATTCTGTGGTTCCTATTCTTATTCCATCCATTTCTCCACTAGTCCTTGTGGCAATCCTCCTTCCTTAAGCTGGAGAGGGTAATGGGGAGGTATTTCTATCTGTTTGTAACTGCTCAGCTGTATTCTTGGCCTCTTCAGCTGAGAAAGTGGGTTGTTTTACAAAGGCTAGAGCATGCAAATCATATTGTATAGCTTATCTAAAAATCCGCTACGAGACAAGCAGGATTTATGCTTAGAAGGAAATAATCCAATGACAACCACAATCTGTGGACGTAGGGTAGTGCAGGAAGCCTCCAAAGCAGTCTTCATTTACTGCTTGTTTCTGCCACCATACAGATGTTTTATTTACATGATGATCTCTTTGTGTGTCATTAGGAATGGCTGGGAGAAGGCACAGAAGCAGTTACACGAGGAGGATATTTAGTAGTGCCACAGCACAGTAAGTCCTTTTCCTGTTCTGTAATTCCCTGAGGCACATTTAATCACTTTTGAAAGGCACAGAAATGTTCCATGTTCCAGCCTCACTGTTCCATGTGAGAAGTGTTCTTATTGTAGCCTACCCTGTTGATGAGAGCAGACAGAGACACAATGACAAGAGAATATGTTATTGTCATACCCAGTGGCTTCCTGACAGCCTGTTCAGATACGAGGGAACCATCAAGCATGTTCTGTGGTTACACTTCTGCTGTCTACGGTATTGCACTTACTGAGGTGTCCCACAGCAGTTCAAAAAGATGCATTATTAAGGGTGGCTCTAACACTGATAATGTGAATTGGGGAGGGGAAACCTCAGGCCTTCTGGTGACACTGGAGCTTGGTTAAACCGCTCTGGTGCTCAACTGCAGTGTTGCAGCTCCTCTGGAGTCAATAATGTTTCCTCCCAGCACTCCTTTCGTATACCTTTTCACTGTCCTTTCCATTCCAGATTAAGAATAATACATTATGGTTTAGATACTTCAGTAAAATTTGCTTTAGGCATGTAAATGCATGTTCTTTGGGTTGCTCTAAAGTTTGTATAAAGTTGCACTGAGTAAAAGCAGTGTGATACCTTTTCCTCTCCTTGCCTGGATCGTGTTCTCTTCATGCTAAATGGTTTATACATGTTCTAAGTGGAAGGAGTAAAAATAGCAATGCTGTGTATATTAGACTATTTTGTTATTATGTTGTGTATATGCTGTGTATATTAGAATATAAACATGTCTCAAGTCTATAGTATTGTAGCTAAAGGAAAGTGCCTCTTTCACCTCTCCATCCACCTTCCTCTTGTTTTCCAAGGTTGTGTTTGTTCTGAACCTGCTGCAGTGCTTGTCTCCAGGAGAAAAGTGAGCTAATATAATGGGTTAAAACTGACTTAAATGGGTAACTCAGACATTCTATTTTGGCTTTGAAATGTCTTGTTTCAGTTTGGCTTATGTAAACTGAGAGTAGATTTAACAGGTTTAAGATCCTTAAATTGAAGTAGGTGTCTTTGTATGGGGGTTTTGCACTTGGTAAATCAAATAAAACCTGATTTATTTTCTTAATACAAACAGGAGAGATTTTCCCTGACTTCAGCTGGTGTTCAGCAGGTGGTTTGAGGTTTTTTTTCATTAAAATACAATCCAGTTTGCTTCAGAGTGTTGCAGGAATAGCCTGCTGCTTTAACTGGCAGGCACCCGGGAACTAGAAGGTGAAAGGAAAGAGTAGGTGATACCATAATAAACTCTTGCCAAATTGAGGTTAGAGGGAATTTCCATTTTCTTTGTACATGGTATTAAAAGTTCTTATTTACAGTGAAGGTAATGATGGTATGCAACAACCTTTTTCATTCCAGGGATGGAAGGATGCTCAGCCATCTGTTCCTGATGCAGAGCTAAGACAAACCTGTGGGATGGAGAACCTCCTTTGATAGACTCTGAAGAGAGCACTGGATCAGGGAAGGCTTGTTCACAGCTGAGAGTAACTGAGGTAACACTTGGTGATGGAATAAGACTTTGAATTATTTTAATAGTGAAACCTACCTTGACTTTTAGTCACCTGTTTAAAATGCAAGCAAGAGTGGTACAGGTTCCCTGTTTAATACTATTTCCCATGTGTTAAGTGTCTTCAGAGTGGACCTCTCCTATGGAGGTTTTCACATTGCTAATCTCAGTATCAGAATGATTATCAAAGAAGACAATGCTTCTATCAGAAGGATCTGATAGAAAGACTGAAAACAAGGCATCATATTCTGCTTTGAAAAAATGGTGTGATGTTTGTGTGTTTGAGAGGAGGTATTATTGTTTCAGTGGCTCAGTCATCCAGATGCACAAGCATGCCTGTAGAAGAGAGAGAGGTGAGGGGCAGAAACCCATTTGCTTTCCTTACCCACACAACTCTTTCAAGAAATTACAAAGCCAAGACTTGCAACAAACACAGTTCTGATGTCAGTAACTACGCTAAGAAATGGAGCTGGTTCTGGAAGCAATAAAAAAGCAGCAGGCTCCCCTGCTTAAACTTATCTATAAAGAGGATTTGTCTCCTTTTTCCATGCCTTCAGAACTCCACCTGACATCACCCGGGCCTCTGCACAGTCTGGCTAAGAGGCCATTTTCTGACTTCCAAGAAAAACAAATGGAAATGCAAAAACTTGCATCTGGCCTGTTACCTCATCCCCAACCACCCAGGTGGTTTCGGAGTCATCCTGGCATTCCTGGTTCCTTTTTCACTTGCTATATAATGAATAATAAAGATTATTGAGACACGTACAGAAAGCGGACAACGCTTGAAGCTCAGTTAGAAGGACTGATCCTGCATTATTTCCACATGAACTGGTAAGTTTGTTCAGGTATTAAAGAATCTGTTCAATAAAAGCTCCTGTGAAGCCAAGGTGCATGTCTGAATTATCCACATAATCCCTTGCTTGATGGGAGGATTGCTCCTGATGTTTTACTCAGAATGTATTTCCTTTCTGTGAATGACTGTCCCTTGAAAGAGTTCAGAAAGCCAGTTTTGGTGTAAATGTGTCCCTTATTCTCAGAAATCAGTCTGCACTACTCAGGATGTTTTGGTTTCTCTTCCACAGGCTTTGTTTTGATTCTTGGAATTTTAGGCAACTCCTGAAGCTTTGGTATAAAACAGCAAGATCAAACTGTCTGGAAAAGCTGTTGTAATGAGCACCTCACTGTTCAGTAAGTACCTTAACTTTGCTTCAAGTAGAGGAAAGGAGAAAAAAAAGGGGTCTGTACTGTCTTTGGAGCATTTCAAAATATATACAGAAAGCACTAACAAAATGTAGAATTCCAACTGCTGTCTCTCCTTTCCAAGGAGAAAACACTGGATGTTTCAGTATTTTTATAGGACGTAGACATCAATTCTCATACCTTTTGTGTGGATTAGGAACTGTTCACAAGCAGAACTGTTTTATCCTATTCTAAGATATTGTCCACTGGTGCAAAGGTTGCTTGTGTGTCCTGTTCATGTCTTTAGGTTTGTGAACTTGACATTAATAGTCACTTAGTTCTCATGGTTGCAGGTGCTAATGAAGAGAAGACTTGGGCTAGGGATAAAAAGTTCAGGCTTCAATATGATATTTTCTGACATACGGTCTTATATTTACTGTATACAAGTTTATCAGAATATGGAAGTGTGGTCTGATGAAACTAATCTGCTATTGTAATCTGCTGCTGTGTGGAGAGATGGGCTGTCATTCTTCAAACACAAGAACAGCGTTCTCCAAGTTGAAGGGGAAAATCACCCTTTACGTGACACATTGGTGGGTTTTCATGCTATTTTTTGAATAACACTTACTGAAGAAATAAATTATTTGGTTCTGTAGAAGGTCACAGATGTGAATGCCATGACTCAAACACGCATTTCTTTTTTCTCTTAAAGACTAAAGTAACAGTAATTGAAATTGATCAAAGAGATAGTGTCTGAAGTTGTAACCCTGAGGTTGGAAAGGTTTTAAAAATAGTACCAGACATGTATCACATCTGCACAGTACAGAATGTTTGCGTCGCCTGAAAGATCAGAGCTGAATGATGTAGGGCTGAAGGTGGTGCAGTCTAGCTGCACAGTAACATCTAATGGTAAGACCAAGTCAACCACAGCTTTTCTCAGTGTTTCCACTGCCTCTCTGAAGCCTGTCAGTGTAATACAACAGGAGATGAGAGCTATTATGGAACACTTCACAGCTCTAAATCTTTATGGCTTCCTCTCTCCTACATATAAGGTGTGCAGTGGTCAGGCCAGGTATCTGCTTTTAAGGCTGATGGAATCTGAAATGAGGTCTGTGTATTTGCACATGGAACCCAAGGCTGTTGGGTTTGAGCCAAACTTTAAGAGGAGCTCAAGCCCCAAGACGATGGCTGGAAATGTTAGTAGAGACCACAAGTGTTGCATACAGCTCTGCTATGTGCTACAGGTCTTTTCAGTGTCAAATGCTGCATGTAAATTATGGTTCAGGCACCATTTATAAGAGGGACCACAAAGCCATTGCACCTTTCTGTTACTTTTCTGCATACAAACTTTTTCTACATGTAAATCAAGTACCGCTTCTTAGAAACACAATTCCTAGTTCTAAAATAAAGTCAGCAAACTGGAGCTTTTTTTTTAAAAAAAAAAGTATTTTTTATTTATTTTTTGAGATGGAAAAGATCCAATTTTCCCTCAGTGGCTGCTATTTAACCCTTGGAAATTGACAAGTTCTGATACCCTCTATTTATATAAACAGGTCCCTGTCCCAAAAGGAAATTCCAGTGTGGATGACCTGGACAGTCCAGTTCCTAGTTCACCAAAAGATCTCTGAATTCTGTGGATTTGCCACAATCCTTATATTCACCTTGTTCTTCCTCAGGGAAGCGGCAGCTGCAGGCATCATCTTCCTGAATTGACTGTTCAGATGTTGTATTCACTAAAGAAAAAGAGCAAGTGTTTCTGACTTACAAGGCGAAAAAAACCACAACTATTTTCAGCTGTCTTTGAAAGCATTTAAAAACCTGGATTTCTGATTTCAACAGTAAAAACAGAAGAGCATTTCTCTTACTTTTCTTGAAGACAGCATGTAGTTTCTTTTTCTGCCAGATACTGAAGCATATGCATGAAGGCAGCAGAAACACTATGCACAGCAGCCCAGCTACAGCAAGAGAAATTCTGACAATGTCCATCTGGAGGTCCTTCCCTAGGAAGCAAACAGGATTCTCTAAGAAGTGTTACAGAGCAGAATTCTACTGCCCTTGAATCAGCTGACAACTTTGTCTCCAACTCTGCTTCTAGATAAGTCAGCAACACTGGCAATGAACAGAGGACAGACTCTTGCTTTAAATGAGGTGAGGGCTATAGAATGTTTCAAAGTAAGTCATACTTCTTTAGCTCTATCAGCAATATTATACAATGACTCACCTGGCACAGTGATAGAAAATGGAATTGCAGGAGCTGTGGTAGACAGAGTAGTGACTAAAGTGGGATTATCTGAAGCGTGTTTGCAAATGACATCTTTTGCTGCAGTTCCAGGCTCCAGGACTTGGTTTGCAGAGCACCTAAAAGACATTTAAAGCAAAACAGGAGGAGAGGGGGAAAAAACAACCAAAAACCAAAACAACAACAACAAAAAACCCCGAAGCAAACAAACCCACAAACCAAAACCGTGGCAAAAAGTCCACTCCAAATGTAATAGCTGTAGCAGTTATTTTTTACGTGACTTACTTGGTCCAGTTTTTACAGGAGCCATCAGGCTGATCATTAAAAGTTCCATAGCGGCAAGCTCGGCAACCTTCAACAGACAAGGATGTGTAAACTTGTACAAGGTGAGCATTTAAATCAACATGTGGAACATTTTTGCCTGCTTATACAGTAATTATACAAATGTGGATCATAATTACTATTCCATAAGCTGCTCTAAGTATGCGAGGCAAGTGTGAGCTATGGTCCAGTACAGCACTCAAGTGCAGGGCCAGTTTATTGGCACGGGATGTCACAATCATGTCTGTCTTAGAGTTTCCAGGTGTTTCCCACATGGTGCTGACAAAAGAGCCTTCATGTGACGGGAACTCATTAGTGTACGATTTGAGCTACAATTTCATGGGTTTGTCTGCTTCTGTGCGAACTGTTCATAGCAGTGGCAGCTTTTACCTAGTGAGGTCCTTACTCTAATTGTTCCCATGCAGTGCAAGAGGCAGCGGTGCGTCTGGTGGTGGGGAAAGGCAACCTTACCACTCCTGGTGCTCTCCTGGCCCACGCCGCAGCTCCGGTCGCAGCGGGAGCAGCCGTCGCCACTGCAGCGGTATCCCTCCGTGCACGTGCAGACAGCATCGCTTTTTGAGGTACATTCTTCTAAGTACCTGAATATTCCTGAACGGCAGAAGCAAGGTTTAGGTTACCTGCGCCGATGTGGGGCAGCAAAGGCTCGGGAGCTTTGCTCTTACAACAATTTGGCTGCTGGCTTCATCGAGCAGCCCCGCGTTGTTTCGGCAGTGCCACTGTCACTCGCAGGGCCGCGCCATCTGTTACCCCGCCCGGTACCTTCGCACTTCCGACACAAGGTGCAAACGTCGAGTCCCGCCTCGCTGGAGAACGTGTCGGGAGGGCAGGGCCGGCACCGCCCGGCCCGCCAGCAGTCCGCGCTCGCCACGAAGGTACCTGCGGGCCGAGACACGGAGTGGCTGCCGCGGGGCCGCGCCCGGCCAACCCCTGCCCAGCCGGGCCCGGGCCTCACCCGCTGGGCAGTCAGCGCCGCACGGCACCGCGGCCGCGGGATGCGGGCTCAGCGCCAGCGCCAGCACCGCTGCCGGCAGCAGCGCGAGTTGCGCCCGCGCTGCCATGGGGTCAGTGCGCGGCGGCGCGGCCCGAGGCACTGCGAGCGGGGCCGTCGGTGCCGGCCCTTAGGGGGCCGCCCCCAGAGGGCACGGCGGCTGCGTCACTCGGGGGCGGTGGGGAAACCCCGGCCTGGCGGGGGGCGGTTTCGGTTCCGTCCCCCACCACAGCGCGACCCCCGGCTCTTCCGGGCAGCGCCCGCAGCCCTCTCAGCGCTGCCGGGCAGCGCTCGCCGGTCCCCAGCGGGGCTTCCCGGTGAGTCCTGCACGGAATCCCCGCCGTGGCTCGCCAGCCCGGGTCGGCCAGGCCGTGCCCCAAAAGGCGAGGGTCAGAGCGCGGGTGGCTGCGGCACCTCTGCCGTGCTCGGGTACCGCCCCCCCCGGGACCGAGCGGGACCCGAGCGCGACCCGAGCGCTGCGGCCCGGGGAAGGGGGGGGGCGCTGCTCCGCGCCCGGTGACTGAGGCGGGCGAGGGGCCGCCTGCTGCGCACGGCCCGCTAGCGGGGGCGATGTCACCCTCCCGCTCCCGGCGGTGCCCGCCCGCTGAGCCCCGGTCGCGTGGCCGTGGGCGGTGCTGGCCGCTGTGGGCCGGAGCGGGAGGCGGGAAGAGGCGCTCCGGGGCGGGTTGTAGCGGGCCGGCGGCAGCACCGGAGCTGCGGCACAGGGCAGGCGGCGGGCCCGGGCCCGGGTCCGGTAACGCCCGGGGTGGGCAGTGCGCGTAAACCTCCCCTCGCAGGGAGCAGGAGCTCAGGGAAGCCCCCGGAGAGGTCCTGCCCCGTGACACACGGGGCCGCTGCGGCTCTGAGGGGCGCAGTCAAGCAGCTGGGTCTGTTGCACAACACTGAGACTTCCCAAAGCCGGGGGAAACCGCCCCGGAGCCACGGTCCCGGGGATGGGTGCCGCTGAGGCAGAGCTTGGCTCGGCACTGGGGGTGCGAGGGCCGCTGAGGAACAGCAGCGGCAGCTCCTTTCGAAGGTACGTATCCGCCCTTGCTGTGGGAGGGTGACACGGTCATGGCGGAGGGCACCGGAGCGCGCTCTTAAGCGGCTCCAAGTGAATGAGATCAACCCAGAGCGCTGCGGGAACGGAGAGGGAGGACAGGCGAGTGCCGGGGAGCCCGGCAGCTAACGGGGTTAAGCGGGGAGGAGGGGGCGGGCCGCGGCGGTGAGAGGGAGGGCGGGACCGGGGCGGGGGCTCCTGCAGTCTCCCTCCCCACGGCTGAGGTGAGTCGCGGCCGCCGCTCCGGCTGCGTGCTCGGGCCGCGGTGCGCCATGGGCTCGGCGGCTCTGCCCGGAGGAGGTCCCCGGAGGGCCGTGGCCGTGGCGCGGGGGGTGCGTGGGGCCTCGAGGCCTGCCCGAGCGGGCGCTGCGGCGGGCCGGGCGGGGGAAGGCCGCTTGCTTGACTTTAAGGGCCCAGGCCTCCCGGCGTCTGTGCGCCGTGCGGTTGCAGGCCCTGCAGCCTCGCCCCGTGCCCCTGCTCGTGGTCTTATGAAATCCCCGCTACGTCGCATGGCGCCGTGTGCTAAAATAAACACGAAGGTGCAGGGCCGTGGGGATTAGCTGAGCTGGGCAGCGTTAAAGCCTCCCTTTCGGCGGCAGGCTGCAGGGTGTGATGGCTTTAAAGCCGCCTTCATGGGGTTTCGGATTTAACTGCCAGAAGGCACCGTCTCGAGAAATGTGCGTGTAACTCCAAAGGGGGGAGTATGCGTAGCTTGAAGGCTTGAGGTAGCCTGAGCATGTGCTGGCACTGAGAAGCAAACGAACGCTTTGTATGTTGGGTGGATAGTTGGTTAAAACGGGGTGGCTGCTATGGCAATATAACTTGGTTCTGCCTTCTCTGGAAACATTCTTGCCCTGGTAGCGTAGACAGCGTGGCAGCTATGTACATACGCACCCATGTAAAGAGCAGTACTAACGCTCAAGAATTT